TCCTTCTCACATCTTTTTGCCTTCATACGACCTTTTGGTAGTCAGTATTCTCACAAACATACACTGTCCTTCGTTCAAGTTACCTCACTGAGAATAAAATAAATACTTCCATGTGGATTTTTAAATCTTCCTTTCACTTGAGTATCTGGGTTCCTCAGTGTAGCTGTATTTCTAAATCCTTAATTTTTCAGTGTTTTCCCTCTTTAAATCAAGACCATTAAAGATCTATTCCTGCTTATCCATTTAAATTAAAATAAAGAAATCCACCCAGGACTATAGGATCTAAAGGTCTTCTGACCTTTTGTAATGTCCTCTTTAATTCCCAAAATAAGATTAAAAATAAAGTGAATGAGAATAAATCAATCAACGAAGATACTAATGAAATGTCAGTATCTAAGCTCTAGCACTATAAAATAGCTCTTTTTTTTTTTTTTTCCCCTAAATCCCTATCTAGAAAGGTAAAATGTCACATATTAATAGAGTGCTATTTTTTTTTCAAATAATCACAGAATCATCTAGGTTGGAAAGGACCCTAGAGATCATCTAGTCCAATTGTTCACCTAGCACAGTTCCCACCTACAGCATATTCTTAAACTCTAAATCAACCCTACTCTTGAACACCTTCAGGGATGGGGACTCCACCACCTCCCTGGGCAGCCCATTCTGTAAAGAAATGCTTCCTAATATCCAGTCTAAACCTTCCCTGGTGCAACTTGAGGCCATTCCCTCTTGTCCTGTCACTTTCTACTAGGCTAAAGGGGCTCAAACCCAGCTCTCTGCAGCTTCCGTTCAGGTAGCTGTAGAGGGTGATAAGGTCTCCCCTCAGCCTCCTCTTCTCCAGACTAAATAATCCCAGTTGCCTCAGCCACTCCTCATACAACATGTGTTCCAGACCCTTCACCAGCTTCGCTGCCCTTTTCTGGACATGTTCGAGTAACTCTATGTCCTTTTTGTAGTGAGTGGCCCAAAACTGAACACAGTAATCAAGGTGCTGCTTCACCAGTGCTGAGTACAGGGGTAAGATCCCTTCCCTGTCCCTGCTGTCAAGATTAATCTTGACCCAAACCAGGATGCCATTGGCCTTCTTAGACACCTGAGCACACTGCTGGCTCACATTCAGCCGGCTGTCAATCAACCCTCCCAGGTCTCTCTCTGACTGGCAGCTCTCCAGCCACTCCTCCCCAAGCCTGTAGTGCTGCTGGGGGTTGTTGTGGCCCAAGAGCAGCACCTGGCATTTGGCCTTATGGAAACTCCTACAGTTGGCCTCAGCCCATGGCTCCAGCCTGTCCAGGTCTCTCTGCAGAGCCTCCCTACCCTCGAGCATCAACACTCCTGCCCAACTTGGCGTCATCTGAAAACTTACTGAGGGTGCACTCAATCCCCTCATCCAGATCATCAATAAAGATGTTAAACAGGAGTGGCCCCAAAACCGAGCCCTGGGGGACACCACTCATGACCAGCCACCAGCTGGATTTAACTCCATTTACCACAACTCTTTCGGCCGGTCGTCCGTTTTCCATTCATGCTGTTAGAGAGACTTAGTTTCAAAAAAATTACCTCATCAGGTCTTTGTTACTATCCCTTTCAGACTTCACTGAACCCAGCCTACAGTACTGTGACCACATATTTTAGCTTTATTTCTATTTTTCTCAAACAGAATCTTACATTTCTATAATTATTTCTGTTAGTTAACCTATAAAACTGGGGTTCAAGAAGTTCAAGTTCCTCTACCTTGTTATTAGACTTCCTGCATCACCACACAAATATTTCAGTAGTGGCCTCTTGACCACAACTGATGAACAATAAAATCCATTCTTTAGTGAACTACTTATGTAATTATAACTATTATCAATATTTTAAAATTCCTTTCCTCTTGCCATTTCTCCTCTTACTTCATCATCTGCCATTTTCTCATTTCTTTTAATTTTCTCTTCTTAAGTGCTCAAATTGAGATAAAATTGAGAGGTCTTATTCCAAAGTCTCATTTTTACTTCTTTGTTTACTGTCTTTCCAATCTCAATTCCCAGATGACAGTATTTTCAATGGAGTATAGCTATCAAGGAGAGTTCTCTTTTCTGTGAATGACGCTCAGTAGTCAAGCATCCTAAAATCATTCTCTTGAAATGCATTTCCCATATTTTTTTAAAGGGGATTAAAATAATTTTATCTATATAATCCTAGACCACTAAGGATCTTTCCTAATCTTGGGCAATTACTTATTAGAGCAGATAACTGTCATTTGTCCCAAGCATACCAGTTTGAGTGAAAAATATATGCATGAGTAATAATGTACTGTTGCTGCCTTACCCTCCCCTCTACACACATATGTACACACACACTCTACACAATTTTCTTGTTTTAAATGAAGTTGTACCAGGATAATTTCCTTCTAAAGATAGGAAATTTTGACTTTTAAGTATTTTAAGACAGTGATGCTTAATTTCTGTCATATACAATTATTATAAATCTCTGTACCAGGCAATTTTTCCAGTTAATGAAAGGAAAGCTAATGATAAAAGACAGACACAACCTCCACACTTTTCAGGTTTTACCTCTCTGTAATTAAGAAATGTCAGTTGCTATAGAGAAATTATTTAACTGAGTGTTAAATTTAGTATAAGACTCCCCATTTTATTAAATTGTAGCTTTCAAACTGCTTTCAGCAATGCATTAAGAATAAAACAATTTTGTTACTTAAAAAATAGTTAAGGTGATTCTCAAGACATACTGTATTATTCTTATGTACAGACTGAAAACCAGAAATTTTGAGTCTTGTATTGAAATACTTAATTACAGGATAAAATCATACTTAATCATAATGTCTATGGATTATCAGAGTTCAAACATATTTTTAAAGCTATTTTTATACCATATAAAATGCATTGGTTTATTACATGTTAGAAATCCATGTTAGAAAAAAATCAGGATCTTGAAGTGCTAAGGCTTGGACCCAAGCCAGAGTTGACCTATATATGAAGCCTCTATATTTTATAACAATAACCATTGTGCTAGTAGGTATTCTACTAAATTATAACAAAACACCTATTCTGATGTGAAAAGTGCTAAGTATTGAAGTCTGAACAGCAGGCCCTGAGATGAAGCTGCTAACTTCGTATGTAGTCATTAGTGAAATACGCATGCTCATTAACAGAAGATATAGCTTAAACATCATGTCTATCCTGAATATATCTTTATCTTTCTTTGTGTATGGGCAAGATAACAGGGCCATGGAGACAGTTGCCTGGTCTTGTGACCTTGCTCATAAATTAATTAAATAAGCAGGCCAGTCTCTGGAGGAATCTAATGTGAGAGTGAAACCAGATATTTCCACATAAAAGAAAGGTACCAGCTATTCTGGCTTGCTGATCTCTAGTATATAAAGCTGGACCCACTTGCAGCAACTTTGGATGCCTCACCTATGGATGGATATATTGTGTAGGATTTCTCATTTCCTGGGAAAGCCTCTCCAAATCCTCACTGTAACTGGGGCTCCCCATTGTTTACTGATCTAGATGACTGCAACATATGCAAGTGGCGATGTATCTTTTTTAATTGCTATTCTCCCTCTCAGTGTAGTAATGATTTGATGCATTACCCTGTATTTTCCTATTTGTTTGCTTTAAGTGCACTATTCTTTATTTTCTTACTGTATGTTTTCTGTATTAGTCTGTTACATTATTTAGTTATCCCCAGTAAAATACACCTACTCTTTTCACTCTAGTGTCTGGGTTTAATTGGTATCCTTAATCAGCAAAACATATCTTCATTCACTAAAGCGCTGCTAATAGGAAACAGAATATCACAATATAAACACAACATAAAATTTCACAATTTTCTCAATTTTGGTAGGCCACCCAGTGGCTATTCTTTTTAACACTTGGACATAAACAGGGCCAGGAATTTAGGAGATGATGAGAACCTGAAATCTTCAGTGACATCCCCCTGAGTTTAATATTCTTATTATGTGATATAGGAATTAAAGCTATCAGTATTTCTTTGCCAGCAAACTCAACTCAAATATTTGGAAGGGAAAAAAAGATATTAATAGAATTGAGGTGGAGCTTTTTGTGTCATTATTGAATTTCCATAGATTTTTTTTTCAGTCGTTGCTTTTCTTTCTTTTAAATATGAGATTGTTAATAGTAAGATACTATGTTAACTAAGTTTTAATAAAAAATATTGAGTGTTTTTTATAAAGGATACAGTAGGAATACATATATCTTATCAAATTGTTACTGCATACCATATAATAAAATCTGTACTTGTCCTGGTTCAACTAGGATAGAGTCAATTTTTTCCCCAGCAGAGAGAGAGGGGGAAGGGATCTCCAGCCGGGTTATTCATACCATGCTGACGTCAGGTCCAGGGGCAGAGCCTTTTTAATTTTGCTTCTGGTTTGAGGTTTTGCCATACACACAGCGGGCTTGCTCCTTGACCATTTAGTGGTATTTCTCTGTATATCTTTTGTCTTGTTCACTGTTATTGCTGTTTATTGTTGTTACCATTGATAATGTTGTTATTCAGACTGTTCTATCACTCTGTTGTATTAAATTTCTTGTTATTTTAGCCGGTGTCTGTGTCTAACTTCCAGTCTGACGGGCGCGGGTGGGGGAGGGGCAACGGCAAAGTGCTCCCAGATCCCGCAAGGCTTAAACCTGCACATTTAAAATTGGCGCCCAACGTGGGGCAGACCCTGACCAGAGTGTGATAGAGCAATCTGTTGGGTGTAATCTTTCTGTTTGTATTTGTGTTTGATAAGAAAATATTTGCAATGCTGGCCCATTTGCTTGGCCAAGGAGGCTGGCATTGATAGGGAAATAGGGAAAGAGACACAAACCCTCAGTGTTTGGAAGTGACTCCTGCTCAGTGTAAGGGAGAGGCACCCCTACAAGGATGATATCCTATGTCAGCTAGGCAAATGGACTAGCATGGAGAAAGGCATCCAGAATCTCAGGGAACTGGCTGTGTTTCATATGTTTTATGTGGATCTGAATGATGAGCAGTCGCCCATGGACCCAGATCAGGTCCCTTGCACAAACCTGATGTGGCAAAAATTCCTGAAGAGCGCACCAGAAGAGCACGCAAAAGCATTGGCAATAGTGTCCTGGTGGACAGACACCCAGACTCTAACATTGGATAGAGTGGTTGGCAAGCTCCAGCAATATGAGGAAAATCTCCCCTCATCTCAACATTCCCTGGTCTCAGCTGTGGAGGAACTGTCTCAGAAAGTGGAAGAGGACATGTCCGACGTTCCACCTGCATGGGCTAATGTCTCAGCCATTAGAAGTAAACGTTTCCCCACCCAAGAGAAAGGCAGCAGATGGTACCCACCACAAGGCACCCTGTGGTTTTTCCTCCATGACCATGGAGAGAACATGAGGAGGTGAGATGGACAGTCCACTGCTGCCCTAGCTGCACGAGTAGAGCAGCTGAAAGGGAAAACCACCACGAAAGGGGAGACCTCCAAGAAGAGCGCAGCTCCAGTGTCCAGTCAGAAATCTCCCAGGCAGAACAGAATGGTGAACGTTATGTCTTACCCTCTTGAGGGGAACAGAATATCATTCTTGCAAGAAGTGAGTGATGATGAGCAGGATTAGAGGGGCCCTGCCTCCAGCCAGGTGGAGGAAAGGGATAATCGGATTTACTGGATAGTGTGGATCCGATGGCCTGGCACATCAGACCCACAAGAGTATAAGGCTTTGGTGGATACTGGCGTACAGTGCACCCTGATGCCTACAGTGGGGTTGAATCCATCTGCTTCTCCGGAGTGACAGAGGGATCCCAACAGCTGACCCTGTTGGAAGCTGAAGTGAGCCTGACTGGGAAGGACTGGCATAAGCACCCCATTGTGACTGGCCCAGATGCCCCGTGCATCCTGGGCATAGGCTATCTCAGGAGAGGGTACTTCAGAGACACAAAAGGGTACCGGTGGGCTTTTGATATAGCTGCCCTGGAGGAGGTTGAATGGTTGCCCACCCTATCCGGCCTCTCAGAAGATCTGTCAGTGGTGGGGCGACTTAAGGTTGAGGAGCAGCAAGTGCCGATTTCTTCCAGGATGGAGCCCAAGTGGCAGGACCGCAACAACTGAGATTCCCTGGTTCATATCCATCAGCTGATCCGTCAACTAGAAAGCCAGAAGGTGATTAGCAAAATTCATGCACACTTCAACAGCCCTATATGGACAGTGAGAAAGCCTAATGGTGAATGGATGCCAACTGTGCACTACCGTGGCATGAATGAAGTCACACCAGCAATGAGTGCTGCAGTGCCGGACATGCTATAGCTCCAATATGAACTGGATTCGAAGGCAGCCAAGTGGTACACCATGATTGACATTACTTACACATTCTCCATTCCGATACCGCCAAAGTGCAGACCACAGTTTGCGTTCATTGGGAGAGGCATCCAGTACACCTGGAATCGATTGCCCCAGAGGTGGAACCAGAGCTTCACCATTTGCCATGGACTGGTCCATACTGCACTGGAGAAAGGTGGGGCTCCAGAACACCTGCAGTTCATTGACAATGTCATTGTATGTAGGGACATAGCCGAGCACGTCTTTGAAAAAGGAAAGAAGATAATTGAAATCCTCCTGAAGGCCGGCTTTGCCATTAAGCAGAAGAAAGTTAAGGAGCCTGCAAGGGAAATTCAATTCCTAAGAATAAAATTGCAAGATGGGCATCGCCACATCCCAGTGGAGGTGATAAACAAGATAACAGCCATGGCCCCACCAACCTCTAAACAAGAGACTCAGTCTTTCCTGGGTGCTCTGGGGTTCTGGAGGATGCACATCATGAACTACAGCCTGATTGTGATCCCTCTATACCATGTAACCCGTAAGCAGAACGATTTTGAATGGGGCCCTGAGCAACAACAATCCTTTGAACACATTAAACAAGAGATTGTGCAAGCAGTAGCCCTCGGGCCAGTCCAGGAAGGGCAGGAGGTTAAGGACATGCTCTACACTGCAGCCGGGGAGAATGGCCCTACCTGGAGCCTTTGGCAGAGAGCACGTGGGGAAACCTGAGGGCGACCTCTAGGCTTTTGGAGCCGGGGATACAAAGGCTCTGAAGCTAATTATACACCAACTGAGAAGGAGACACTAGCAGCGTACGAAGGAGTTCGGGCTGCCTCAGAAGTGGTCGGCACTGAAACACAGCTCCTCCTGGCACCCCGACTGCCAGCGCTGGGGTGGATGTTCAAAGGAAAAGCCTCCTCTACACATTATGCAACCGATGCCACGTGGAGTAAATTGGTTGCGTTGATAACACAACGGGCTCGAATAGGGAACCCCAGACACCCAGGGATACTAGAGGTGATTACGAACTGGCCAGAGATCAAAGATTCCGGGATCTCACCAGAGCAGGAGATGATACGTGCTAAGGAAGCCCTACCATATAACGAGCATCCGGATGAGGAGATATCCCCTGTTCACTGATGGGTTTTGTTGTATTGTGGGAAAACATCAATGATGGAAGGCTTCTGTATGGAGTACCACATGACAGGTCACTGAAGCTGCTGAGGGACAGGGTGAATCGAGCCAATTTGCAGAGGTGAAAGCTTTTCATCTTGCTTTGGATATTGCTGAGCGGGAAAAGTGGCCAAGCCTCTACCTCTGCACCGACTCGTGGGCAGTGGCGAATACCCTGTGGAAATGGCTGCAGCAATGGAAGCATAACAACTGGTAACGTAAGTGTAAAACCATCTGGTCTGCTGAGGTATGGCAGGACATTGCAGCCCGTGTGGAAAACCTCATCGTGAAGGTGCGCCACGTGGATGCCCATGTACCCAAGAGTCGGGCCACTGATGAACATCGACACAACCAGTGGGCAGACCTGCGACGGGTGGAGGAAGCAAGCAGCCGATTCAACCTGAATGATAGAGCAAGCTTCAACTTTATTGAAAGAAATCACACCTTATATAAGCACTCTACAATAATCATGCATACTACTCACAAATCTATTGGATACATGTAAAAGGCTACATTATAATATCCCAGCCCCTTGTGGTATTTCAGGTATGCATAAACACCTTCCCTCTTCTGAATCTGTTTTTCTCCCAGGGCTGTTTTTCTATCACCCCCAAGGTCATGATGTACCTCAATTTCTCTCTTTGTTAACATAACAGTCCTTTGTTAGCATAACTGTACCCTGGGTTTTTTTGTTTGTTTACCTCAGGTGGCTGCAATCAGCTTCTGCAGAAAGCTATGGCCTTGCTCTCTGCAAGCTGTTCTCCAACAATCTTCCCTTTTTCTTTTTGTGCAGGCTGCACAAGCATAAATTTATTAATATTTCCCATTATACCACTTTATGCTATTTTAATACTTACTACAATCAATAATACTATTCCTAATCACCGCAATAAACTGTTAAAGGTACCCTGTTAAGTACAAAGCATCCCATAGTACCCACATGCAAGGGAAATGGCTAAATACTACAAAATAAACAGTGAGGAAAATATGGGATAGCACACTTAATTAATAGAAGTACTAACATTCAGATCCACAATTGCTAGGGAACCCTGGATACAGCGAGAATTTAGAGTGCCCTTCCTCACAAGCTGGAAACCCTACGTGATGCGTCCATCCATAGGTGAGGCATCCAACGTCGCTGCAAGCAGGTCCAGCCTTTAAATTAACAGGCCAAAATAACTGGCAACTTTCTTTGAGTGGAAACATCTGATTTCACCCTCCTGTTGGGTTCCCCTGGAGCCCGGCCAACATTCCAGGGGGAAAACCAAGGGAGTTTCTAAATAAGGTTAAATACTTGAGCTCTTAATTCTTAATATTACTAAACAAAGAAAGTTGAATACACACATTCTTACAGCATCTTATCCTTACTAATAACTATATTTTATCTAAAGTACATCTTGCACAAGTGACTAGTAAGCTTATATATTTCATTAAGAAGTTACAATTACTGTTAGCATTTTCTCTTAAAAGAATTGGCAACTGTAGTGTAGTTTGTTCTGTTACAGTAGCAAATATTACTCAGACATTCTGCTTGAACGATCAGTGGAAGAGATCACAAACTGTCTGCACAGTGGCACTCACAGCTGGATCCTGAGTGCTGGCTGCCTCTCACGCCTCAGGTGTGGTTCCACACAACTTGCCAGTGACCATTGGAGATGAGACCTGTGGAGACACAAGCATAACATCTTCCCCAGGTTATTAAAGGAAATAGTCCTTCACAGTTACCCCTTTCTAGGTATTTGTTAACTCTTGAGCTTTGCTTTGGACTTCTTGTTGATCTGGTATCTATGATGAAAAATGACACAATACTGGTGGCACCTGTGAGACAGGGGTAATGTTTAAAAGGTTCATGACATATAATGCCTTATTTAGCCTTTTGTGAGGTATAAATTGATATCTTGCATCTTGCCCTTTTGTTGTTGTTGTTGTTGTAATAGACGTTTTAGCTTGCTAGATGTATGCTTCACAGTGGCCTGACCGGCCGGTGAATGGGGAATGCAGGTCAGATGCTTGACTCCCCACTGTATGACAGGATGCAAACAGTGCTCCAGGAAAGGTATTAACAGACACATGTACATATTTTAATATCTGAAATGCAGCTAAGTGAGTGACAACAGATTGCTATAATTCTGAGGAGGTGAGTTCCCAAGAGTTGACACCACTTCCCTGTTGAAGAGATGGAGTCTGTCTGGTATTCAGGGCAAGCTGATAAATTGTTTTTGTATTGCCCTGACATTCTGGTGGAAAAAATGCATGTGTTTTTCATCCCACTGAAACAGCAGAGCATATGGCTGACCTGGAGCCAAGACCTCTCCCCATTCTTGTTTTTGCAAAAGCACTTTCAAGGTTTGGCATGTTCTTTCTACGATGGCTTGACCCGTGGGGGAATGCAGTATACCTGTGATGCTTGTCTGTTTGAGATGGTATTAGCTATGCGGTGAAGATCTTGTTTTGCTTTCTCTGTAAGCACTCTGGGTGATGTCAGTGAAGGATCTTTTCATAAAATATCAAACAAACTATGCAGATCATCATCAGTTAGGCCCACAGCGGCTGTAAGCAATTTATGGTTTCTAAAAGTTTTTGTAAATCTTTTAAAGTCTTAATATCAGTTTTAAGTTTAAGCTGTTGCAGGACAATAGTCTGTTCAC